TTCGATTTGGCTCAACGAGATCTACATTTCTAAAAAAAATAAAATTAAAAAATGTCAATAGGGGGGTAGAGGGGGGTAAAAACGGGCAAATTGCAGATACATTTTAGACTGTTTATCACGGCCAGGTTTCTGAACCAACCTTAACGCAACTTTTGCCGATCGATAGAGAATGAACCAGAAATTCACATGGATCCTAAAAATATGCATTTTCAAAAAGCATAGGCGGATACAGATCATTGAGATTGGGGGTACACAAAAAGTATAGTAAATAAGGTTTTTGTTGGTACTGTTTCTAAAAAGGGTGGCAATGGTCTTGTTATGTTACAATTTTCTTATGAGAGAACGACTAAAATTGTATTGGTCATACATAGGCGGTGTCAGGGCACCTATGTTGGGAGGTAAAAAATAACCCCCCTTTTTGGACGCCTGGATCCGCCTATTATAGCAAAAACGTGTCAAAAGAGGATGCACAATAACTTTGTATATGTTATCACATGATACCTTTCATTCACTGTTCGTAAAACTGGTGCAGCATCGTGATCTTCGCCCAAATGACTCGCTTCGCGAATAGGACCCCCCAATGTCCAGTGCTCTGGAGCCGCCCCTGGTAAAGTTATGAACTTGAAATTTTCAGGGAATGTGCCCAATTTAGTTTTAGGAAAAGTCAGAAAATTTCAGCATCGTAGCTTTAGCGGTTTCGGAGATATTCCCGAAAAACCTGAGGGGTGGATAAAAACAACCCCCCCTGCCACTAATAGGGTTAACGGATAAAACGAGCGTGTGCCTTTACGGTAAGTAGCAGCACGTACCAATTTTAGCCCTCGCCGGCCGAGGGGATGGGGCGGGTGCCGCCCCTCTTGAATTTTTTGTATCGAGTGGCAGATGTTGCCACGCAAAGCAGTAAATACCACCACGTTTACCGAGGGTATACCTATGATTTAAAAATTTTAGATCTGCGTTGACGTCACAAATTCTAAGGGGGCGTGAAAATGCATTTGTCCCTTAGAATCTGAAAAAGTAAGTTTGAAATTCATTATCTCCGAACTAAAGCAATTCGCGATGCTGTGAGTGCCCAAAACGGCAAGTGCAAACCAGGGGCCCCTATTTGGCTATCTCAACTCAAAACTAATGTTAAGGTGGGATGGTCACATTAAATCTCACAAGCGGCTTATATTTCTCAAAGTTTCCAAATAACCTCACGGTATCTTGTCCTTTACGAGCTCAACTCGCCAAACACTTTTGAAAGTGGCTAAAAGTTTTATTATGTAAAAAGCAACGTTATGATATCTCCCCTGCACTCTCTCTCTCTCTCTCTCTCTCTCTCTCTCTCTCTCTCTCTCTCTCTCTCTCTCTCTCTCTCTCTCTCTCTCTCTCTCTCTCTCTCTCTCTCTCTCTCTCTCTCTCTCTCTCTCTCTCTTCCTGATTGAAAACAGTTTGAACATGGAAATGGAGCGTAGAAATGTAATGATAATGTTTTAAGCATACAGAATCTATACCTGAATTGCGTTATTTAGCCTTTCCACAAATCAGCCATTCCACGAAACGTGCTTTCAATCACTGTCTGGCTTGCATACCTGTTATCCCGCCATGCAAATAGGCTACCCAATGACGTTAACAGGCCGCGGTGCCAATGGGCTGCCATCACGGGCGGACGTGAGGGCGGACCACGAGTGGAGGGCACTCAGCGGGGCCGTCCGGCGGGCCGTACAATAACGCCCTCCGGCCGTGTTTGGCCGCGTGCAATCACCGCTCCTACGCAAACAGTGCATAATTGCACCGGGCCGCTCTGCGCTGTAGTGCTTTCAGCTCCGCTAAGTAAAAAACTACGTCATACGCCATTGGCTCTGAGTACCTGTACAAAGGGAAAATGTGTAGATTTTGGCGCAGATGTCCCTCACCTATGTACTCGTCTGTATTTGTGCCTGCAGCTGTAGAGATGAATGTAACGATGAAAGCGAAAAACTGCTTTAAAAGCACAATCACACAGAAAACATAACTCCGCGCCTTTCTCATCTTTTGCTGAGCTCATTGCGTCAAAAGTTAGGTAGAAGCTCATAAAACATCATTGGAGTTTCAATCGTGAAGTAAAGTGGATTGTTCTCGAATTAAGGTCTTTTACTTTTCCCCTATATTACAGTGGACCTCAGTTTCTCATACCTTTTTGTACTGCTTTTCTAAACTTATTGTCGTAATTAATGTTGCAACTGAAAGTGAACGGATTATTTATCTTGTTCACCAGGCTGACCTAAGCTCTATAGCCTGGGGCTGACCCGATCGGCTGGTGCAGTGGTGCTGCCGGCGCAGCTAGTGAGGCCGTCCGATCGGCGCGACATCTATGGCGCAGCACAGCCACTAAAGCGGATCGGCTTTTCTCACATGGCAAGCGAGAGGTTTTAGAAAAGTCCCTAGACTGAAGACTCAACTATTAACATTGATAGAGTGATGTAACAAAAAAAAAATATTGCATGTCAGTTAGCATGTTTCAGAGCTGAGCTGCTAGAACTTCGGACTCCCGTTAGCGAGAGCCGGGGTTCGAGTCGCTCCGGCGCTCGGTATTTGAAACTCCTGACACGGATGGTCTGCGGTTGGTCAACACCCTTTATGTCGTTTCTATCCTCAGAACATTCAAGTCCTCATCCACGCCGCAACCCTGTTTCGGGCTGGACAGGCAACTTTGTCTCATGCGGGCGTCTCCAATTGGAGCGCAACCGCAGCTCCTAAGGGAACCCAGCGGTAGAAGGTGCAGAGAGTGCTTGGGGGGGGGGGGGGGCTGGTGGGCCTGTCCTAACGGATGGGCTCAGTCCCGGTGACGCACTAGGGTGCCCGCCCAGACCAATCTCTCCCCCTAATTTCTATCATGCTCTCGTCACTGCAATGGTCTCATTGGACCGAAAGGGCCTAACCCAGCAAAACAAAAACACTGCGGTTAGTAGGCAGCCGCACTGCCAGCTTATGTCAGCTGAATAGAACAGGCCGTGTCCGACTTTGATGGTCACGCTCCACTTTGGCATCTATTTTATCCCGTTATCCGGCACTGCGCGACCCTTTCACGGATGGGTAGGGGTCGGGGTTAGTTTTATTTAGGTGTACATATTCGTACAGATACAACAAGAGAATGAGACAGACTTGAATAAAAAAGAGGGAGAGAGAGGGAGGGGAGAGTGAGAGGGTCCTTTGACTTGTGACGCTGTGTACTATCGCAGGCCGTGCTCGCTGCTCGTGCCCACGGCCCCCTAAACTAAGGACCGCGGTGGCTCACTGCACTGGTTTGCAAAAGGTCGCGCTGTCACCTGCCAGGGTCGCCGCGGCCGGGGCCCGGGGGGGGGGGGCGGACCGGGGGGGTCGAGTGTCTACCCAGTACCCACCCACTGTCCGGCTCTGTCGGTGCTGTGACCTGCAGCGCGGAGGGAGAGTGCTGAGACCGGAGAGAGGAGAGAGCAGCGGGATCCGCGATCGGAGAGAGCAGGAGGAGTCGGTAGTGAGTGAGGAGCAGACGAGGTACAGTCGTGTACAGGTTGATGGTCCCCTACTCTTTATCCACCGGGTTCCTATGGCTCAGCATTGGCAGCAGCCGCCTGGTACCGGTAGGCTGTGCCGCATGACCCGAGAGTGAAGCGGCACAGTCTACCCACGCCGTTTGACATCGGCTCGGGTCGCCGGGTGGAGCGCTTTGTAGACCAGCTGTCGCGTCAGACCAGCGCGGGGGGAGGGGCTCGTCTCGGTGGTTGGCGTGGGCTGGCGAGTGGTGTGGGGCGTGTTGGTGGACCATGGGGGCTGGGCGGGTGTGTGTGGTCACTTGCTGCATTGCACATTTTGCGTCGCTTAACAATTGCATTCCTGTTTTTGCTAAGCAAAATGCACGGAGGACCCAGCGAATGTAATTTACTTGTGCATTGTGCAAAACGTGATTTGGCACGGTATCGAGGCAACCATAGGTCTTGTGCCACATACATATATGCATGATATTTAGGCAATACGCTTATGAAAATGGTAGATTGATCGGATTGATCCTGGATGTCAATTCGTATGTTAAATGTCGACATGTATTAAATGAACGAATGAATGAATCAGTCAATCAATCGACAATCGACATGTAGATATAAAACCGTATAAATGGATCGCAACCACTAAAATCGAACCAGATCCTAACTCGGAAAAGTAGCCGGAGCCCCGATGAGGATCGAACCGGGACTCCACGTTGAAAGTTTTACCAATGATCCATCATCATTCCACCAAGCTAGAGCGACCGGCACCCCAAACCACAAAAACATTCATTGACTTTGCTGCCGACCTCCCGGCCCCGCCGCCCGCCCGGCCAGACTTTGCCCCGGCCGTGGCCACCATCCGGTGTAGCTCAGCGTAGGAGTGCTAGACTGTCAAACTGACCGGTAGTGAGAGGCCCGGTTCAAGACGCTTCGCGTGCTGGGTGTTTATTTCTGTGTCCGAGGCTATGCGATTAGTCCACTTTTCGGAAAGATTATTTGGTGACAGGTCTGTTTTCTTTCTTTGCTGCAATTCATGAGGAGACCGTATGGACCCTTACCTGTCCTTCCGCACTCCACTTGGGAGATGGGTGTTTGAACCCCCCTGGGTTTTGTGAATACCTATCTCTAAAACGAATTTTTGGAGGGTGGATTACGATCGGTTCTATGCGACAAGTGACCACACACACACAGCCCCAGGTCCGCTCACTCCCTCCCCACATCACCCCCGCCCCACACCACACTCCAGCCCGCCTCATCCACCGAGCCGAGCCAAATAGACAGGCCTGACCCTTACCCCCCCCCCCCCCCCGCCCCAGCCGGTGTGACGCAGCGTCCGGTCAAATCGCTCTACCAGGCGACCCGAGCCGGTGTCATACAGTGTGGGTAGGCTGTGCCGCTTCACTCTCGGGTCATGCGGCACAGCCTACCGGTACCAGGCGGCTGCTGCCAATGCTGAGCCATAGGAACCCGGTGGATAAAGAGTGGCGGACCATCAACCTGTACACGACTGTACAGAAAATCTACAGAAAATTTTACAGAAAATCCACAGCGGAACGGAAAAAGAACATTGAATAATTGAAAAGACACATCGTTTCCAGAAACTTCACTAGGACAGCTAGTCACTGATATTTCTGACAAGTCAATGCTCAATGCTCTTTGAGTGACATTGTGGCTGAGTCAGCGACAGTGATTCAATTCCGGAGTGACAACTCAACTCCAGAGTGGCAATTCTCCGGAGTGACAGAGACGACGCTGCGTGTGGGACGTCAGACATAGAAGACCGGCAACGATCGAGCTATACGAGTAGAGTGAAGAACGGAGCTTCTGGTGCCATGGAGGTGTTCAGTTGAACACAACGTTTGTTGAATTAGGAATCATCCACCATGAAGCTGTTACTTTTTGGCATGTAAGTTCCATTCAGTGCTATTCATCATCATATGACGTCCACTCCCAATACGAAAGTAAACAAACGTAACAAACAATAATCAACCAAATCCTTTTATGCAAGGTTCGTGAATCAAAAACTGCTCTCGAGACAGTGACATAAAAGAAATGATCGAACTTTGGCGTCACTCCCTATGATTGAATCCTTGAAAAATATGTAATACTTAACCCTCGCCCTGGCAGGGGGGGGGGTCGATGCGACCCCCCCCCCCCCTAAGGTTTTTCGAAGATAGCGTAAAAACGGCGGCGCGCAGCGCCGCCAAATTTGGCACAGCTTATGGGGCAACCTTTTTACATATGACCTGAAAATTTCAGGTCCGGGTGACCTTGGGTCAGGTCACCAGGTCAGAAAAACCGGTACAAGGTCATGGTCAAATTTCAATTTTCTTTTTGCACCTGTCCAACTCACAGTTTTGGACTGATTTCCTTCAAACTTTCAGGATGTGCTAAGTTCATCGAGTTGTATAACATATAGTTCGGGTTTTTTGAGGTCACTGACCTGAGGTCAGTTAGAGGTCATTACGTCGTAATGTTAAGCCTATGGGAAAATACTAAATTCGGAAAATACTGGAGATATCCGCTTCGTTCTATCACTTTTGTGCTTTGAAACCACAGTTCTTAACAGCAGGTCACTTGGTGCTTCTTTGTTTGGCGTACTTATCCATGGGTCAGGTCAAATGAGGTCAACTGAGGTCAAATGACGTTTTTGCCAATAACTTGGCACATAATGACGCTAGAGCTTAAAAAATGGTGTCATTGTGTTCCTGGTGATCAGCCGAATCGAATGATATGCGATATGATGCAATTTGGTTAACTTGAACTTAATTCATTATTTTAAGTTTACTTAAAATTTAAGAAAAACTTTAAGTACATTTAAGCAAGCTAAAAAGTATATCATTCGACGCGCCTTGACGTGCTGAGTTCACTGGTGCTTTTCTTTTTGCTCTATCTTAATTAGATCAAAAGTTATAAGCGAAAAACTTTTCACCTGTTTTTAGCGAAATTTTTACATTTATACCCCCCAAAACCCCCCTAAATATTGACATAGAGCAACCAAATTTGCACAGGGGCGAGAACTCCGGGGGGGCCACCTACCTACCAAATTTGGTGTTTCTAGGTGCCATAGGAGCCAATCGCGAGGGGGGGGGGTCGCATCGACCCCCCCCCTGCCAGGCCGTGTTATGAAAAAGGCCCTGCCAGGGCGAGGGTTAAATGAAATAGGAAGTAATTACGTATAAGTAAGTTGCCAAGTCGCAGGGAACAATGAGAGTCTGCCAGAAATACATCCGAAGGTATTTAGGTTCAAGGAACAAATGATTTTGTAGGAAGTAGGTATCATTAGAATATATGACCTTCTCCTCGGAAAATGACCAAATGAATGAAAATGATTATTTATTGATGAATTGATGATATTTCGGTCACAGACCTTCGTCTAAATCGAATTCGTTAACTCGTACAAGGCAAAAGTAGTGAGTCACTCACTACTTTTGCCTTGTACGAGTTAACGAATTCGATTTAGACAAAGGTCTGTGACCGAAATATCATCAATTCATCAATAAATAATCATTTTCATTCATTTGGTCATTTTCCGAGGAGAATGTCATATATTCTAATGATACTTCCTAAATTTATCATGCTCCTCGCAGCAGCTCTCAACGATATACGAAACAACAAATGATTTTGGTTCAATTCACAGTTCACTGCGCTGTATTAGGTGGCTCCAACGGACACGGTTGCTGATTGGCTGATGGGCTGATCGGCGCGCTGATTGGCTGTTTCAGCGTGCTCCTGCGTCATCTCGGCCTCTCATTGGCTGACTTCCGGATCATCAGCTGCACCGAGACGTCCTTTTTGCGCCACATGGCCGCGGGCGATCGGACTGCTGTCGCGCGCTGTCTGGCACACCAGCGAAGGAGGCTCAGGTCAGGGCAGGTCAGGTCATGGTCAGGGTCAGGTCAGGGTTAGGTCAGAGTCAGATCAGGGTCAGTTTAGGGTCAGGGAAGGGTCAAAATAGGTCAGCGCCATACCAGTTTCATGGAAGGGTCAGGTCAAGGTCAGAGTCAGTGTTAAGGTCAGTGTAGTGCCATGTCGGTGCCAGTTTCGGGTTCAGGTCAGGGTCTTGTCAGAGTACGCTCAGGGTCAGGTCAGGTTAGGGTCGGATTCTCTCCTCTCTCTCTCTCTCTCTCTCTCTCTCTCTCTCTCTCTCTCTCTCTCTCTCTCTCTCTCTCTCTCTCTCTCTCTCTCTCTCTCTCTCTCTCTCTCTCGCTCTCTTTCTATCTCTCGCTTCTCTCTCTCTCTCTCTCTCTCTCTCTCTCTCTCTCTCTCTCTCTCTCTCTCTCTCTCTCTCTCTCTCTCTCTCTCTCTCTTTCTCTCTCTTTCTCTCCGATCTCACATTTGCTCTCGCTGTTTTTGGCAGGCTGTGCCGACTGGGGCTGCCCGCTACGCTCCGGCCCCCGGCTGCCCTGGAGCGGCTCTGGAGGGAGAGCTGTCACACTGCCACGACCAGTGGGTCCAATGGATCCACTGGTCCCAGCACCACATCGTCTCCACTCCCTGCCCCGCCTTTAGCGGCTGCCGCTTCACGAGCGACAATATCACCAACACCGACACCAGCAGCAGCAGTGACACCAATAGCGACACCAGCGCCCACAGCGATACTAGCGCCAACAGCGACACCTGACGAGACAACAGCACCGACAGTGACACCAACAGTGACACCAGCACCAACAGTGACACCAGCTCCGTTACCGACACCAGCACCAACAGTGACACCAGCTCCGTTACCGACACCAGCAACGACACCTTCACCAACGTCAGCACCACCAGCAGCACCACCAATATCACCATCAGTGACTCCCGCGGCAGAGGTTCGCCCCCTGCCGCCGCCGCCGCCCGGGGCACCAGTCAGCTCAGCGGGGCCCGGTCGAGGCGCTGGGGAGCCTCCCCAGCGTGGGGACGGGGTGCTGGGACCGACCCCGGCTGTCGAGGTGTCCCGGGCAGCCGCAGGAACTCTGACGGCCACTGCCGGACAGGGACGGTCAGCACAGGACCAGCGCCGGGGACCGGGGCGAGGGACGCAGTCGGCACCGACAGGTAAGACCACAGGCTGCGCAGTGCGCACTTACCGCTGCACTACCGGGACAAGTGGGGCAATGTGCGAATGAAACCGGGAATACCGCAGTCATTTAGGTAGGGGACGAATGATTGTAGTTGGGGATTTCGCGCATGCGTCAACAGCTGATAAATCAACTCCTTATTTGTTCGACATGTTGTGAACCTAACCGGCTTAGTGTCGAATTCTGACTCCGTTTCGTGAACGGCATCCCAACGTGACGACTGGTCAGTATCTCCTGTAACAAGTTCCCGCAACTGCTCAGGGTAATGACCGCGTTCTGCAGCTCCTACGTTAAGTGAATCTGAATCAGCGAAGTAAACAAGTTTAGGTCTTGAATTACAAAGCAAAAGCATCGGAATATCCCTAAGCATCCTTAATTTATAAAACAACCTTATGATATGGGGAAGTGAATTGTCCCGCCTTTTTCTTAAAGATTTTAATGGAAAAGGCATAAAATTAACCTAATCTTAGGTACCTAACCTACATGAAATTTCCGCGATATACATGCTATTCATAATGCACCCCTGCGCCCTCCCCCTCCCCAGGGTGAGCGCCGAGCGGGCTCAGTTAACTAACTACAGCCATACAGGCTGAACATACAGCCTGTATGTTCAGCCTGTTTTGCCGAGCGCCAAATAGCACTGAACAGTGAACATTGCCGAAAAGGTTGTTTGCTAAAAGACGCTTGTATAAACAGATCCTAATATGGATAGGCCGTAGTTGGCCACGGACGATGCAAAAAGTAATAATAAAGGAGACTGGCGCACTCATCTGCGGCTGAGAGTCACCGCGTCAGTTTACAATGATGCTCAGATGTCCAAACATTACTGCGGCCGCACGGTGACGAGACCGACCGGTGTCACAGGGCGCCCGGAGCTGGGCCGCACAGTGCCGAGACTGGCCGGTGTCACAGTGCCGAGACTGGCCGGTGTCACGGTGCCGAGATTGGCCGGCCGCACAGTGCCGAGACGGGCCGGTGTCACAGTGCCGAGACTGGCCGGTCGCACAGTGCCGAGACGGGCCGGCCGCACGGTGCCGAGACGGGCCGGTGTCACAGTGCCGAGACGGGCCGGTGTCACAGGGCGCCCGGAGCTTGGTCGCAGACGGCCCGGCCGCGGATGTGTTTATGCCCAGAACGGATTTTGTGCGGGTTGTGCGCGGTGGGCCGGGCTCTGGTCTGGCGACAGTGCCCTGCCAGCAACCAGTCCGCGGTCGGCAGTCGGCGCCGGCGGTACCGGTATGTGCGCCAGGATGGTCCGCGGCTGGAGCCCAGTCCTCGTGTCGGCCGCGCTGGTCGTGATGGCCGGCTGTGCCGCGGCCCAGCAGCAGCAGCAGCAGGCCGCCCCGCTCACTGCCGACGAGGTGTTCAGCATGGTAACAAGAGCACTTCAGCAAGAACTTCTGCCAGCCGTCAGAGAACTCGCGTCTCGGGTGGAGTCGCTGGACAACAGGCTGACTCTGCTCGACTCCCGAGTGACTGAGCTCACCGACCACATTGTGAGGGGTGGACAAAGTCAGCGGGAGGACGTCCGGGGATCCCAGCCGGCCGGTTCCGGCACCGGCGGGACACCGGGTCCAGCGCGGTCAGCGGGCGGGCCCTTCACGGTCAGCCGGCCCGACACCGAGCAGCAGAGTCCGGCCGAGCAGCAGAGTCCGGCCGAGCAGCAGAGTCCGGCCGACGGCCGCCAGTTCCGCGACTGCAGCGACCTGCCGGCCAGCTCCAAATCGGGCCGCTACCTGCTGCTGCAGGGCGGTGGCGGCCAGCAGCCCGCCGCTGTGGGGTTCTGCGACATGGACACCGCGGGAGGAAACTGGACGGTGATCCAGCGGAGGGACGCCACTCAGCGCGGCCAGCACTTCAACCTCGGCTGGAGCGACTACAGGCAGGGATTCGGCCACCTGCTCGCAGAGTTCTGGTGGGGCTTGGACAATGTGTGGCGTCTTACCTCATCACACGACCGGCAATACGAGCTGCGCGTTGAACTCGAGGAATTCAACGGTACTCAAGCGTACGCCCAGTACCAGAACTTCCACATCTCAAGTGAGCAGGATGGATTCAGGCTAGCCCTCACCAACTACACGGGTAACGCCGGCGATGGCCTGTCTAACAACGCCGGCCGCATGTTTTCGACCGTTGGCCGTGATCGGGACGCGTGGTCCTCGGGCAGCTGCGCGGACGAGCACCAGGCCGGCTGGTGGTACGCGAGCTGCGGCCTCTCCAACCTCAACGGCCAGCACGGCGCCGGCGGTACGCCACACCCCGCCGGCCTGTGGTGGGTCACCTTCAGCCGGTGGAGCTCGCTGCGGAGGACCGAGATGAAAATCAGGCCAGCCTAGTTAGTCACACGCAACGCGAGAAACGTCACAATATCGCGACCTGTATGTATAGTCGACTACAGAATGATGTTCCACTTTTCACAGGCAATTATTTGTCTGGAGTGGTAGGCTGTGCCGCACACACGGGCTGAGTTCACAAATTATAGTTTTGTCCCAATGCTCACAATCGACACGCTTAATTGCGTGATAAACGGCACAACTTAGCGCTCCGGTCAACTGATAGCTTCTGAGGAGTGGAACTAATTCTGTAGTCGACTATACGCTCCGTGTTAAATCCACACAACGAAAATGTCTCAGTTACCTTTGTATGCTCAAAACGTTCTCGGCAGTAGGGAAAACTCAAGGTAATAGCGCTCAAAGCCTAGGTTCTGTAAAAATATTATACTATCAATCAATACATTTACAGTTCTGATTAATTTTATTCACTGTCTTCTTTCGTTTGAGGTATTTTAAGTCATATCAGTTATCACGTATCAGTTATCACAAGGTGACGCACTAGTTAGGCGCGCATTCAGCGCGTAATCTTTCAGCGTGTAGGGCGCGCTGAGAAGTTAAAGTATTTGCTTTTTATGATGGCAACTGAAACCACAAAAAATGTGGGGCGCGATGCACCAATGTCGCCCTTCGCCCAGCAATCCCGTCAATAAGTAACAGTTCCCCGCTGTGGTAGCTTTTCAGTTCTCAGAAACGGGCAAACGTGGCGTGCGTAACATCTCGTACAGGCTCGAACGACGGTTCTGCGGGACACTGAGCGAGCGTCCT